AACAAGTTAACAATAATTAAAAATGTTAATTTAATATAGTTTTTTTTTTTAATTTATAATATTCATGAAATTAAATTATTATTATTATTATTATTATTAAATTTACTCTCCCAATAAAATATTATTAATATTTATGTTATTAAAATAATTATAATAATAATAATAGCAGTAGTAGTAGTTGTAGTAGTGGTAAAAAAAAAAAGTTTGAAAAATTTTCACACACTAAATTTCTAATAAGGAAAAGAAAAGAGAAGAAAAAATGATGATGATGATGATAATAATAATAATAATACTTCCATTTTTTTTTTTTTTTTGGTTTAATTAAGAAATGTGAGAAAAAAAAAGAAGAAAAAAAGAAAAACAAGTTTTTTAATTTTTTTTTTTAATTGTTTTATAATTGATAAAAAGGAAGGGGAATAAAAAAAAAGAAAATTGAAATAACGGTTTTTTTTTTAAAAAAAAAAAAATTGGATTAATTTCGTTGACCTTCTGACCTTGGAGTTTTTATTGATCTCGAAAAATTTCATCTTCTCTTTTTATATTTTTCCCCGCCCCCCCCCTCCTCGGTTCTCGTAAAATATCTTTTTCTATTCTCTTTCTCTCTCGTTTCCCCTTTTCATTCGTACTATTTCCATCTCTTTTCATTTCATTTTCGCCTGCGTTCTTTTAACTCGTTTTCCATAATTTCAAAAGAGAAAAAGAGAAACAGTTTAGTTTTGCTCCTGTTAGGGAGCTTGCAATCTTTTCTATCTGTCTCTCTCTCACACACACACACTCTTTCTATTCCCCGATTCATCTCATTTTTATTTTTATTTCGCAAATGTACAAAATCGTTTGTTTTTAACGTGTCGTTGTTGTTTGTTTGGTTTTTTTTTTTTTTAAGAAAATACCTGTTACGTGAGTTTTAACAGCTTTTAATGTGACATTATTATTATTATTATTATTATTATTAATGATATAATAATTTGTTATTTTGGAAAATTAAACGAAATTATCATCATCATTATTTTTATTTTTAATTTTTTTTTCAGGTACGTAAAATTATTTTTTATATATATATTTAACCCGTGGTATTTTTCTAAAAAAAAAAAATCTGACTGTCATTTACATTCAGGTTGAGTGAATTAATAATAATAATAATAATAATAATAATAATATAAGTATTTGCATTCGACGCCTTGTACGTTTTAAGGTATTCATGTGTTTTAGTATTATATTCAAATCTTACATCGATTTATTAAAACATTCGTTATTTCCTTTGCCCGGGTGTGTGTACGTGCGTGCATGTGAGTGCGTGTATACGTGCGTGTGCGTGTGTGTGTGCTTACATGAATTTTAATATTAGTTCAAACGAAAAAAAAATATCAATTTCAATTTTTAACTAAGTTCAGACGTCATTTTTTTTTCTATTTATTAATACATATAATTTTTCTTAATAAATTTTTAATAATTATTATTATTATTATTATGTATCGATAAAACGATTTTTACCCGGCGTATTATTATTATTATCATTATTATTATTATTAACGCGCAGGCATGAAATTAAAGTTTTAAACGTGAGTTTTTAATTTAAAAAAAAATAATTTTTGGTATATAATATCGGAAGAAAAAAATTTGTATGCGTGTGTGTGCGTTCGTGCGTGTGTTGAAGGTTTTCTGTTTGTTTACCTGTTTTAATTCGTAATAATAATAATAATAATAATAATATTTTCATTTATTACGTGTATATTTAAGAAGTAGTGAACGTGTTTTTGTTTTTGAGAAGAAAAATATATGTGTGTGTGTGTATAAAAGTTATTTTATTTTATTTTCAGAATTATTATAATTTGAGAGAGACAGACAGACAGACAGAAAGAGATAGAGATAGAGAGAGATAGAAAATGAACGTAAAAAAAAAATTATTTATAAATGAATCACGTGGTAAATTTTTATTATTGAAAAGTTTAAGATGTTAATGTAATCGATCGAGTGAGAAAAATTTCATTTAAATTAAAGGTGAGTAGTCGAATGAATTATTCGGGAATAAGGGGAAGAAGGAGGAGGGGAAAGGTGAGGAAAAAAATTAGGAATTTCGGGAAAACTTTGGGGAGTTTAAAAAAAAAAAAAAAATTCAACTCGATTCCATGTTAAAATAGTTTTATACGAAAGGAAATGGTTCAATTAAAAAAAAAAAAAATCGGTTTTCAGGTACGAGAAACTAAAAAAAAAAAAAGGAAAATTTTTTCCTTTTTTAATTTCAGGTATTTCATTATAATAATTCCACGTCATTTTTCAAAAAAAAAAAAAAAATGAAACATTAAAATTAAATTTTATTTTTCAGGTATATTATTATTTAATAAGAAGGGTGTTTTGGGTTTTTTTTTTTTTTTTTTGAGGTGTACCTTTTTTTTTCTCTCTTTCTCTTAATTATTATTTTTTCGTTTTTAGGTTTATTAATTGAATTAATAGAATAAGAAGAGGAAAAAATAAATATGGCCATTGAAATATTAGACGAAAATCATTTGGCAATAAGTGCAATTGTCACAGTCGTACTCCAATTGATTTTTTTCATAATAGCAGCAACATTTCAATTTGACAAGTTGACGGATGTTGCCGGAGGAACGAATTTTATTATTCTCGCATTGCTCACATTTTTCCTTGCTCAAACATACGACAACCGTCAATTAATGGTCACTATATTTATATGCTTGTGGGGTGCCAGACTCTCCGGGTATTTACTATATAGAATAATGAAAATCGGTAGAGATGCCAGATTCGATGATAAAAGGAGCAACGTCATTCGTTTTGCCGTTTTTTGGACTTTTCAGGTTGACCCTCATGAACAATAATAATAATTTTCACTCGATATTGTTACAATAAATAAATGTAATAATAATCGTTTTTTTAGGCCGTTTGGGTTTTCGTAGTGAGTTTACCCGTTATTTATATAAATTCTCCTCATCATGCCATACCACCGGCTCCAAAAACTATGACGACATTAGATTCAGCTGGAACTGGATTGTTTTTCATTGGACTCATTGCTGAAACATATGCGGATTTGCAAAAATTTTCTTTCCGACAGGATCCGGCAAATTCGGGTGAGAGTCTAAAGACGAAGAATAAGGCAGTGGTGGAATGGCATTTATTTATTATTATTATTATTATTTAGGAAAATGGTGCAACGATGGTCTTTGGAGACTTTCGAGACATCCGAATTATTTCGGAGAAATAGTTTTGTGGTGGGGAATATTCATCATATCGATAAACGTTATCGAAGGTATCGAATGGATAGCAATACTTTCGCCTATTTTTACAACTTTTATAATATTATTTTTATCGGGGATGCCTTTGTTGGAAAAATCGTCGGATGAAAAATATCGAGAGTTGGTTTTTATTTTCATTTCATTTCATTGATTGATTGATTGATTCGTTCATAGGTTCGCGAATTAAAAATAAATTTTGTTGTTTTTAATTTTTAATTTCAGTTTGACTGAATATCGATATTACAAAGCATCGACATCGCCACTCATTCCAATTCCTCCGGCCATTTACGTGGAAACTCCGAAATTTTTAAAATTCATTCTCTGTTGCGAATTTCCACTATATAATTCTTTGAACGTCAAAGAAAAACCGACCCCGTTGAATTCGAGCATATTAACATCAGCAAATTCCGTCACATAGCTAAATCAGTACGACAGCACCGTGACGGTGCCTGTGAGCAGCAAATGTACAACGACTATTCTTTAATATAATAATAATAATAATAAACACTAACATATATATATATATATTATTCGAAAACTCTCTTATACTCTCGTACGAAGTGAAAATTTTTAATGAATTGTAATATTTTTCGATTTGCACTCGCACACACCCACACACACACACACACACGCACGCATTTACGACGGTAAATTAATTGAGAGGGGGAGGGGGAAATCATCGATGTCATAATAATTGATTTTTTTTTTTTTTTAATGTAGTTACGTAATCGTTTCAATTATTCTCATAATAAATGAATTTTATTAGTAATTTAGAAACATTTTGTGAACGAATAATTAATTAATTAATTAATTATTTGATTAATTAATTAAAATAATGTCAAATAAAACCTCATTTTGTTTTCATATCTCACAGAGTAGACAGTCGTACAAAATTTTTAATTTATAAACGAAAATAATACTAATAATAATAATAATAATAATAGTAATAATAATAAATAATTTTTTCTATGTAAATATATATATAATCGAAAGAGTATAAATAAGTGAATGAATGAATTTAAATTGTTTATTTTATGGGGAAAATTTTTTTTTTCTTGTTTTCCCTAGGGAAGGAGGATAAGTGTAAATTATCAGGGAAAGGTATCAAAAAGAGAGAAAAATAATTTTTTATTAAGTTTAAGTTTGGAAAATAAAAATTTAAAATAAATATATATATATATAAAATTTAATTTTTTATGTATTAAATATGATCCAGTTTTTTCCAAAAACTACTTCTTCCACTTTTTTTTTTTTTTTTTTTTTTTGGTATGAATTTCCTGTTTGATAATCTTTTTTTTTTTTCTCTCAATATTTAAAAAATAAAAAAATAAAATAATTAAACTAATTTTAAATTTAAAAAAATATATAAAAATTATTTTAAAAGTTATTAAAGGGAATTAGTTTGCCTAAAGGAATTTTTTTTTACATTGAAAATAAAATAATTATGGGGGACGGGTTTTTTATTATTATTATTATTATTATCTTTTTTGTTTTTAAGGGCAACGTCCTTCTTTAAAAATTATTTTTTATTTACTTATAATTTTTATTTTTTTTTTTTTTTTACAAATATAAGGAAAAGAAATGTGTTGAAATTTTTAACAAAGTTCAAGTTATCAATTATTAAAAATGAGATAACAATATGACTTTGGAAAATTATTTTTTTGAAATTTTTAACATATTACTAGCACTTATAAAGTTTTTCAACTTAAATTTTTCTTTTATTGTAAAATAAATAACAATTTTATTGTAATTATAAAATCAAAATGAGGATTTCTGAAATTCTGATACACGAAGTCAGTCCTCCTGTACAAAATCTGTTTTTTTTTCTTTTTTTCAAATAACCAGTTAAAGAATAATAAAATAAAATAAATTGTAAGTATCTTACCGTGAGAATTATCATTTTCAATAAATAATTAATAATTATTTTTTAAACGTAAAAGAAAAATTTTTTGATAAAACAACGTGATTTATTATCATTTAATAGGCGGCCATTAAAACGAAACTGACAAATACCCGGGAAAACGTGTCAAAAGAATTCAGTACCACGGCAAAATTTATTTAGAAAATCATAGAGATAGAAAAGACCGATCTTTAAGTTACCGAAAAAAAATGGAGTAACGAAGTAACGCTTCTTTTTACTTATTATTTTAATTTTTATTAGAGTTTTTTTATATATAAATTATAATGTATAGAATAATTAGTGTATGTAGAAATAATAATAATAATAATAGATTGTTTGACGCGGTAAAAAAATACGATTGTTCTTCGAGAAACATTATTCACAAACCGCGAGAAAGTAATAGCAAAATATTAAATTATATTAACAAATTAAAACATTATGAAGTGAAACAAGATGAAAAATTAATATCGGATGGTTACGAATTAATTTATTCGCACAAAAGGATGAGATTAACAACGTTTTGTTATTACGCATCAATTTTTGGAGTAGGTATGGCATTATATAATTTATCTGAATATTTCACGGATCCCAATTGGCTTGAGGTAGAAACACCAATTGGTAAATTAAATCCGGCTGCTGGATTTCTATTGCTAGCAAATGCAGCCTCTTTATTATTTTACAGTTCAAGAACTCTTTTATATATTTATAAAAAAGGAAATAATTATAAATCAATCAGATTCGGATTACCTGGTTTGATTTTAAAAAAAAAAATAGTTAGTTTTAATAAGGGTGATATAACATATAATAAAAATGATTGGTTATATAAATTGCATAAAACTTATGTAATTTTTCACACTGATTATTTTTACAAACAAAAAGATTATTATGATATTATTTGTTCGAAAAATGACGATTATCATGATTAAATATTTTTTTTTTCGAAATTATTTATTGGAAAGGAGATAAAGTGTCAAATCGATGACGACAATAGCAAAAATAAAATAAACGATGGATAAATTTAAATAATTATTATAATAATAAATCATTATGATAATGATGAAACTTTTTATTTATTAAAATAATACATTTTTTTTTTTTTTTTAAATACTTTATATCATAAATAATTTGATTTAAAATCTAACATTAATTATATAATAACAGTGTAAATTACGATTGAAAATATATAATCTTTTTTTGTTTTCGTAGTAATTCGATTATAACAGTAATTTATAAAATTAAAACATTTCATTTTTTTTTTTTTCTCTCTATAATATTTAAACTTTATAATAAAATTATTCCAAAAAATATTTTTAAAAGACATCATTTCAAAGTGTAAACATTAAATTTTTATTTATTGCCCCTTTTTTTTTTGTGATTTGATTCGAAAGTTTTTTCTATTATCATTTTTTAAATGTTGCAATTAAACCTTATTATTATTATTATTATATTTATGCGATATGATTTTTATTTAAATCTATTCGTTGAAAAATATTAATTTTTAAAATTCTATAAACATGTTTTTAAAAAAATATTTTTATTTTTTATATATAAAAATGAAGACTTTAAAATTTTAACAGTTTTCTCATTATTATTATTATTATTATTATTATTACCATTTATCTGCTAAGCGCGTTTATAAGTGACCAAAGAGATTCATTATGATTGATTGATAATTTATTTTCTATATTTTCGTTGCATTTTTTTTTTTAAATTTAAAATTTAAAATTGCGCACTATCCTAATTTATATAAAATTTATTAAAAAATAATTAAATTTCCCTCATTTATATATAATAATAATAATAATAATAATTAGCATAGTTTTGAAAATTCGTTATTACAAAAATTAAAATTTTTGGTAAGAAAAAGAAGAAAAAAAAAAAAAAAAACATTTTATTTACTCTATCAATTTTTTTTTTTTTTTTTTTTAAAATTTTAATTATCTTTTATATATATATAATTAATTCTACTTTCTAATTTTTTTTTGTAAATATTATTATTATTATTATTATTATTATTATTATTATAGAAAAAATACAGTCTCAAACAACAAATTCGAAATCATTTAAACAAATTTTTTGTTTTTTTTTTTTGTAAATATAAATGCTATCATATTCGCCGTAATTCGCGTTTTTTCTGATATATATATTTAATTTTATTATTGCTACTCGTGTTTTTTTTTTTTTTTTTTTTTTTTTGTTAATACGATTGTTTAACCCCTTGACCTCGGATTTAGGTACGACACAAAAAGAAGAAGAAAAAAAAAAAAGGAAGTGTTTTAATTAGTTCCAAATCTCAAGTCTTAAAAGAATAGTGACACAAGAATGATTGATAAATTGTGTTTCGCACATATTTCCATCCTTTTTCATCTCATTGTTTTTCGTATTAAAAAAAAATTTTTTTTTTGGAATGTTTCGCAATTATCGTCGCATCAGATTGTAATCACTCATTAGATATTTTACCGAATTTCAAAAGTGCGTGTGCGTGTGTGCGAGTGCGTGTGCAACATCCCACAACTATTTCCTTTAAATAAAATAACCACTTCCGGTTTGTCAAGGGGTTAAAAAGTCTAAGATATTAAAAAAAAAATTTTTAAACTAATTTAATCGATATGCTTTGAATTTTTTTTTTTTTTTGTATTAAATGCTATATAAAAAAAAAAAAATTTTTTTCGTTGTTAAAAATAATTCATTTACTCGAAACGGTTTCTTTTTTTTTCGTTTTTACATTTCCGCTTTTTTTGACAGTTTCCGCTTCCTCCTTTTTTTTATATCATGCGGTGAGAAATTGAAGGAATCGCCATCGTCAATTGGAGGAACTTTCACCGCACACCAAAGTCGAAGCTCTCGATATCGTCGACAGGGTACTCGTTCTTATTCCTACTCCGTTGTGATGACTCTCAAGAGGATTTCGTACGGTTATGTGAATGAGTAGAGTCGCCAATTCCAATTCTTCGCTGAATCCATTTTTTAAATGAACGCTACGATAACCTGATCTTATGGCTGTCACCTAATCGAAAAGAAAATTTTTTGTTATCAATAACATCGTCGTCGTCGACATCGTCGTCGTTTCCATTCCGACACTCACCGGGTACGTGCATTGTCCAATAAAATTACTATCGCCAAACATGTCTTCATCTTGTACGACGAATCGTAAAAGAGCGAAATGAGGATTGTAAACGTCGAAATCGCATATTTCGTTCCAGAAGGGATTAAAACCGTTGTCGGCTAGCAAAAAACAAAGGAATACAATACACTTTTAATTTTAACGAGCGCAAAATTGTTTTTGCTTCCAATCAATCATTTTCAACTCACAAATCGTTTTCGTCGTGAGTTTTACACCGGAATCAAAATCCGCTCCGATTATTTCGACTTCGACAAAAGGACTCGTCGTTCCTCTTCCCGTCCTTGTCAAATGCCTCGCTCCGATCACTCTGATCGATATGTTCATGGGATCGACACCGACGAGAGTGTGATGGTCGTACATGTCGAAATCATCTCGAAACATGAAATCCGGTCTTAGAATGTAACCGCAACCACCGTTCAAACTAAATTTGCTTTGATTTATTTGCATTGCTTTATCTGCAAAAAAAAAAAAAAGAAGTTAAATAATGATTATTTGCCAAAAAAAGGAAAAATTAATCGTCATTCGTACGAACCTGGTGTCTGATAATTGAGAGCGACCATTTGCGAACCTGAATTCCACATGGGAACGGGATTGTAATTTGTCGAATCTATTCGTTGACCTTTTGGATAAACTCTACTGAACTGATGCTGGAAAAAACAAATATGTATACATATAAATTACAGGTGATTTATTATCGGAAAAAAATTTTAATTTCCCTCCCCCCCACGCACACCCTCCCCCCGTGCCCGTACCTGATGATATTTCAAAAAAAATCTCGTCTCTTCTTTGCATATTAATTTTTCCGCTTTGTTTTCCGCAAACGATGACATTTCCGCAAAAATAAAACCGTTTTTTTTTAACCTTTCCATGTTGAATGCCACCGACCTGCAGTAAACTATCAAATTAGACATTTCCTTAGCTATTCTCCAGGCTCTTTCTTTTTCTTTCGTTTGATTTTCCTACACGTGCAGACAAATAAATAAATAAAATAGGAATCTGGGAAAAAGGATAGCTTTGTTTGACATTTGCCAACATTTACCCTCACGCTTGCATTTTTAACAGTTTCTTTAATGGCGGCCATCCAATCCAACGCTTCTTCTCTCGCGGGTATCGCCATTTCGAAGGGTGACAACATGTTGGGATTTTGAATTCGTAAAATCCATTCCAAACCCGGACGATTTCCACCGACCAATTCGATTGCCGCACCCACGATGTCAATGCTTCCCTTTTGAAGACTTCCGAGGAGTAGAGAATCAGCCGACTGTAATCATTATTAATAATATTACCTGACTTGCGAATAAATGCAAGAAAATAAAAAATGGCGGATTTCTTGTTTCCCGGAAAAAATAAAATAAACGACATGTTTTCACGTACCGTGTCTTCTCGATTTTCTTGCGGTTCGATTTCTTCCACGTAATTACACGGAAACCAATGTTGTTTTTTACCACCGTAATCCCCTCTCCACCAACCCCTATCCTGTTTATTAACGTTCGTTATGATGGCATGCTTGCAAAACGACAATTCGTCCTCTTGTCGAGCCTGATAATCGTAAATGGCTTTGACTGTGATTTTCGATGTGAAACTACTCGGATCCATATAACCGGGAGTTCCGTAAACGGTCCCATCGTCGACGTCCTTAAACAAACGAAGAAAAAAATTTTTAATTTTTTTTCTCTTTCTCTCCTCTTCATCCGCCATCTTGAAAACATGGACGAACAGACCCGTCAAAAACAAAATCATCTTATTTTCGACTGCGAAAAATTTTTTAACGGTAATAAAAAAAAAAAAAAGTCGTAAAAAAAAAAAAAACAGAAATGGCAGAAACCTGAAACGGTTCGTTTCAAAACATATTCAGGCATTGCCAAATGAGGTTCGCTCCAGTTTTGGAAATATTATTATTATTATTAAATGTTAATAATGCAAAAAAAAAAAAAAAATTTTTGTTTCGACTAAACCGTGGAAAAATCATCACAAGCTCCCTCTACTACTAAAATTAGAAATAGTCAAATAATAATAATATTAAAAAAAACAGGTACAGGCTTGGAAACGAAAATACCTTTCATTCCGCGACCGGGTCTTCAGCCTAAAGTGTGTGTGTACCAGCCTTGACCATGCTTCTCTCCGTATCGGTTAGTATGTTTTCATGTTTATATAATATCCACATAATTTGTTTTGTTTTGTTTTTCTTCTTCGGACCCGTGGGGGGCTTATGTTTTTTTTAAAAAAAAAAAACCGTTAAACGTTTTTTATTTTTAAACGAACGAATCAACTTAGTTTAAAATTAAATCGAAATTCCCCCCCCCCCTCCTTTTATCAATCAAAATTTTTTTTTTGTTTTGTTTTTATTTTTTTCGTAACGTATAATAATAAACATGGCACCGACGAAATGTTTTCAAATAAAATGTTTTATTTAATTTTTCAGTTGATTTTAATCGCGAATGGATTTTTCCTACACGTTTCGTGTGCGAAAACAAACGACTCGAAATTGATAACGACGGAAAATTCAAAGGTAAGTAAAAGTTTTTCTTTTATTTTCTTTTTCCCCCCCCCCCCCGTAAGAACGATTTCGGTACCTGATGTAAATAAAATAAAAAAACCGACCGTGACAATTCATTTTTTTTTTTTTTTTAATACCTTTTATAAAGTTGTCACTTTCGACAGTAATTAGGTATTTTTTCCTTTTCGAAGAACGTCGTAGAATAAAAATATTATTATTATTATTATTATTATTATTATTCTTTAAATTTTCGTCATCGTGACATTTTTAGCCATTGTAAAAAAAAAATGTCTTAAATCTGACTTCAGATTTATTATAATTTTCTCTCTTTCTCTCTCTCTCTACTCTAACCAGAATTTGCATGTGATTTTCCTCAAATTTTTTTTTTTTTTAAACCACGTTCAAAATCATCATCATCATCATTATCACCGTGATAGCTAAACATTCGGTGAACGTTTCAAAGGCCAACTCGCGAGTATCGCGCCTACTTAACCACCTTGTAAACGAACCTGGTGTGTAACTTGGGATTCCTTGAAATGCGATTTGCAAAGATCGAGTCATTCCGTATCAGCTTATTATTACTTCTAAGAACTTTTATTCTAAATAATAATAATAATAATAATAATAATAATAATAATAATAATAATAATAATAATAAATTATACTTTGGTTACTGCTGATTGCACAAATAAATTTTCTTAAACATAATTTACGTGACTCGAGATAATTTTAATTAAAAAAAATTTTTTTTTTCAACTTTTTCAGAATGTCGTTCAATACATTTTATCATTGATAAACGATAATAAAAATGAAGAGGATGGAATCGAAAAGAAAACCGTGGAAAAACTCATAGATGAATTTTACGCGAAAAGTTTGAGCACTTTATCTACTACTGTCACCCACAAACCTTCAAAGCCCGAAACCGGAAATGAAACCTTTGATCGCGCAACGGACAATTTTAATGATTCGAACAATGGGCCAAGCATTGTAACAAAAAAAACGACGGGATTTACTTCCGGGATTAAGTTGCCCGACGTAGTCGTATCGACGCAAACCGTCGTCGTGGATAATAATTCTCTCCAAGTCACAACAACAACAACAACAACTACTGAAAAAAGTAGTTTTCCGGTGTCGGATTTGACGATTTCCAATCCGGTCTCGGAGTCGACTCAAAAAAACATTTCATTTCCGGAAGGCGAATTCAACGAGTACGACGCGGACGACAGTTTTTTATCTTTGGAACGGGAAAACGCGACCGAAGACCCCGTCGAAAGGCAAATAAACGAAGCGATAAATTCGATGCCGAAATTACCGGAATTGATTTTTTCCGATAATAAAACTCATTTTAAATTTTATAAAAATTCCCAAGAGATTTTAATGGATGAAAGAATAACGCAAATCGCGAGACAATTGGCCGAAACGAGCTTGAGAAAACAATACGAAGAACAAAAACTCGGTCACGTTCTTCCCATCAGTCTCGGACCTTTGGAACCGTCATTGATCACTTATTCGAAATCGTTAAAAATCGATAACGGAAACGAGAAAATCAATACCGATGATTTACGGAAACGACAAAATCTCATTTTACAAACAACGTCGAATCCGTCGGTTGAAAACGTTTCGGAAAATTTTCCGGAAGCGTCCAAAACGAAATTACTTCACGAGAAAATACCAGTTTCGGAAACGTCGTCGAATTTTCACGCATTCAACGATTCTAAAAGTACGACCGATGCGTCTCTCATTTCGAAAATGATTAAATCGAATCAAAGCAAAAAATACAACCAAGTTTTAAAGATGAAAAACGGAAGTGTTCCTCAAGATAAAAAATTTCCGGAAACGGTTAAAAAAACAATACAATTTTTACAATCGTCATCGACTCGATCCCCGGTAAATTTTTCAAAAACAACCGTCACCACCATTTTGAAAATTCTCAACGAGTCTTCAACGACAGTGGGTACAACTTTACCAAGAGAAAACTTGCTCTCGAATAACGGTACCAACATCGGATTTACCAACGTTTGAAAATTAAAATTTTCATCATCTCGCTTTATATATCATTCGTAGTCATTTCAGTTATGAGTTAGCCGCGTCATGCATCTTGCATAGAAAAGTTTAGACTTATTAAGTTAGTACAAAATAAATAAATAAGATCTTACCTGGCCTATCCTTTGCACGATTTCTTCATTCACCGGATGACAAAGTCTTATTTTTTTATACAGCGGATGACGTTCGTAATAAGTTATTAAATCGACCAAGCTTTCAAAATAAACCGATCCTATGGCATACAGTCTTCCGTCGACTTTAATTCGGCAGTGTTTAATTTTTTTCTCCGCTCTTGAAAATATAAAATAATATTATGAGTGTGTTACGCGTCCGTAAGTATTTTGTCAGAAAAAATAGTAACGAAGCTACTAATAAAACTAAACTACCTAAATGAAATGGCATATGAGTTGGCACCTCTTTCGCTTGGCCTGACTAGAAACGCGCCATCGGTTGGCACCCGTTTAAGCATTTCTTCGGCTTGACTCCTCGTCACGTTGGGTAAATACCATTCTTTTCCCTCGTGCTTGTTCGGCTGCGGAACCGGCTCTTTCAAAACAATTAAAAATTCCTAACGGAGAAATAAGAAATGCCATATTTAAAACCAAGAAGTTTTCACGTTTACGTCGTCATCGCAGGACATCGTCATCGATAAGTTAATTTGTACCTGACTTCTGAGAGGATGACTTCTATAATACGTTATTAAACTATATAAACTATCAAAACTATTCGTGTCAATCAAATAATATTTGGTTTGTCCTTTATCCTGCTTCGATCTGATTCTGCAATGATTAACTTTCCCTTGTCTCCTACGGTGGGTTAATAAGTATTATTTATTTTTTGTCAAAAAAAAATTTCAAAATGAATGCAAATGTGCGTATTACCAAAATGACAAAGAATAATCTCCTACAAAAGTCTCGCTTTCTCTGACTAAAAAAGTTCCATCGCCTAAATGTGAATATTTTTTTAATAAACTTTCGGCTTCCGCTCTTTTCCCTCCCAGTTTGCCGTGAAACCACATTTCACTAAAGTGCAATTCGTCATTTGGCACGCTCTACGTGGAAAATAAAAGAAATTTTATGCTTTTAATAATCAATAATACTCAAAAGTATTGTGGTAACGACAAAGAAATAGAAAATGTAAATTTATTAACCTCTTTGTGCCTTTGAAATCCGGTTTCTTCATCATCGTCTTCCGTATCGGTTTCATTATTCCCTTGAAAACTATCCGTGTAAAGTAATTTGTTTTGAGTCAATACGAAAAAATGAGGATTCCATTCATTATCTATGGGATCTTCCAGATACAAAATGCCATTTTTTACCGTGTTCCTCAAATCCATTTCTCTACCTGTGACACACATATAAACTAATAGTTATTATCAATTTGCGAACACCGAACAAAGTTTACCATTTAAAATATGGATAAACGCACCATCCTCATTTCTGATAACGACAGAATTTTCATCAACGCCATCGGGAAGTTTTTTATGTTTTAAAATAATTTTCCGGCGAAGTTGCCAAGGAGAAGGAAGTTGTTTTTCATTTTTTTCAACGGGTTGTGATAACAACATTTCACCGAAAACCTCTTGCATAACTTGAGCCATTTTACGTTGCTGGAGTAGAGTGCAATTGTCTTCTATAGATAATATCACAGGGTATCTACAATAAGTTGCAACAAAAAAAAAAAATTTACTTTGTTGATAATATTTAAAAAAAAGCAATAATTCAAATGAAATGAAATAAAAATTTTCTTACTCTGAAGTCACAAATGCGTGTTCTTTTATGGTTTTTATAGCATCGAAAAATTTAATTTTAGTTGTTAAAGTGTGACCGTGAAATATGAGAGGCATTCCGTCTGGTCCATCCCAACAATCAAGTTCGATACATCTGCAACCCATACGCAATGCTCTGGCATAAGCCTCAATGGAAGACTCACTCGAAAATTGATCTCCGGTTAAATATCTAAATAAAAAGTATTCCTTTTTTTCCTTTTTTCCTTTTAATTTCAATTATTTTTAACGGTTAATTGAAAACTCACGTATTGTGCGAAGAAGCAATCCAATAATGGGACAAAGGTCTTTTCATGTCTTGTACAATTCTATCGTTAGCTTCGTCCCATAAATCATTATGTTTTGAAAATAAAAAATCCATAAATTCCATTGTTGTAAAAAATGGTTCCTGACAATTTCTTACAGTGTCCTGAACAATAATATTGAAAAAATATCTTTTAATATTAAATTTTAAAAGAGTTACCGTTTTGAAATACTTATCAAATGCAGCAGATATTTATCACTTACCTTTCATAACAATCGAAACAAGGATTGAGGAAGTTAGAAGGAATTATTCTAAGGAAAGATGTCAATCTGGGAATCAAAATTAATTTATTGAAAATAAGTAAAGAAAATTGTAAGTGAAACAGTCAGAGTATGAACCCAGAGTATGATTGACTTACCTGTAGAAAATCTCTCATAAATTGAGAAACATCCTGTTCATTATCACCTAATGGATCTTTTTGAACCTCTGCTAAAAACTGTTGAAACTCTTGCAATGTTACCATTTTACCATTTTTTGAGTAAGCAGCATACACATCAAAGCTTTCTTTAAAAGCCTAAAATAATTTTTTTTTTTTTTTAAGTCAGAAAAACAAAACTTATTAGTGAATAAAAACTTATGCTGTCTTACCACTTCATCGAAAATAAGTTTATTATGGAGGATAGTAAAATCGTCAAAACCGATTTCATTTCGTTTTTTCGTGTCAACTTCTTGAAATGCCTCTCTTAATTTGCAAGTTGATATTTTATAATTGATTCTTCTCAAAAATGCTTTTATATCTTTTAAACTTACTCTGAAAAATTTTTTTTTTCAATAAATAGTACAAATTTTACAGATAATTTTTGTAATAGAGTTATTTATGTTTTACGTTTCTCTGCTGCTTTCCATCGTGTAAAATTCTTTTCTTAACCATCTTTCTACTAACAATGGGTAAGGAGATTTAATCGTATCTGGCACTAAGTGTCTTAATCCTTTTAACCACAGTTCGCATTCTTTTTCTGATAAAGCTGCATTAAAAAAACATTTTATATTTTAATTGTACAATTTAATGAAACACTCCCTTCCTTTAATAAAAGGAACTAAAAATGAATTAGTATGAATATAATTTTTTAGTATAATATTAACCTGCGACTGAAAGTGACTTTAATCGAAATTCCTGACCATAATATAAAACAAAACATTTTCCTGCATCTGTTTTTTTACTTTCCTCAGGCCACTTTTCAAAATCTTTAGAATTTTTTCCATGTCTTATTTCCTTAATTTCTCTCATATCCACTGCTCCTTCAAAATCTTTAGTTGATGATGATCTGCACCAAATTATCTGCCTTGTTTCTCTTCTTATCATCAACATTTTTCTTTCAGGTTTTTTTCGCGGAAAAAACCTAGTAATAAGTGTCCCCCTCTCCAATTGAATAATAGTTTGTTCCATTTCTGAGATAAAACTCAGACCATTAGGCATACCTATCACAGCCATTGTACTTAAATTTCTACGACAAAAATTTTTTTTAAATTTTAATAAGTTCATTTAGAAACGTAACCATAAAAACTATAATCAAGTAAATTTATCATTTTGTCATTCTCGGTAGGACATCTTATATTTTTATCTTACCACACTGTTAATATCCTGTTTCAACAATATAACCACAAAATAAATTTAATATGTAGCGTGATATGTTGCTAATTGATTATTAAATAAATAAACAAGTAACATAGTGAAAATTGCCGTTAGGTCATTTTGAATTAAAGAAATTCTGAAAAATACATTATAAACAAATAACTTTTTAAATATTTGACATAGATCAGTGCATTATTAAAATTGTGTCCATTTGCGATAAGTTTATTTTATTATCTCTTTTGCTAAGGTTCAGATTAATTAAATATTTAAGCTTGTTATGTTGGTACCTTCTCTCAAAATCGGCTGATGCAATAATTCTTGTCTAATTTTTCAATGAAATTTTAAACTAAATCGAAGTGTTATTTATTTTAGATCTTTTTTAAAGTTTTAAATCATTTTATATAACATTCTAGTGGTGTAGTAAAATGACGGAAGAAGAAACGGTAGGCATTTTGTTTTACATTTATTTTTTTAAATATGAAAATAAGTTTTTTTTCAAATGGTGAAATTCAAGTGTGTCCTAATATTGTAAAAATAAATATTTTAAATTTTTTTTTTTTTTTTTTTTTTTACGTAAAAAGTGTTATTATATTTTAAAAAAATTTATAAATGCAACCTAAATTTAAGAGAAAATAAAAATTAAGAGTTATTTTATTAAGCACTCGTATTGTTAGATCGTAAAAAATTAAAAAGCATGTTGTAGTTTTATTTTTGATGAAAGTACAACGTGTCTGATTAAAAATTGAAGCCTTGCGTAAGGCAATTCAAAATTAGTTTTTTTTTTTTTTTAATAAAATATTTAAAATTATTTTTTTATTAGATTTTTGACCCTACGGTAAAAAAGAAAAAGAAAAAGAAGAAAACAACTTTCGATTTGGATGCGGCCCTTGCACAAGCTGGTACAGATGAATCAGTACCAGACACAAACGAAAAAGAAAATCAGGAACCAGTGGAAGCTGATGCAGATGGTAATTAATTTTACACTACCTAAATTTTACTTAATCATATTCAAAATATTTATTTTGATGAAATTTTAAAAAAAATTTCCTTGCAGATAATTTTGATTTAGATGCTGGTGCGAAAAAAAAAAAGAAAAAAAAGAAGCCATTTAATTTTGAAGAATTAGATGGAGCTTTGCCTGACAAAGATGATGGAACTATCAATGATGGAACAGGACATGATGACACTGGTGGAATTGATGATGATTTTAATTTGGATATGGACTTTTCCAAAACTAAAAAAAAAAAGAAAAAAAAGAAAGACCTCGATGAATTAGTCGCAGAAGAAGAAAAAGAAAAAGTCGAGGAAAAAGATAATGGTAAATATTTTCAAAAAAAATTATTATTTTTTTTTTTTTTTATTTTATATATTTTCTATACTTTGGTTTTATCCATTTCATTTTGATCAGAATAAATTTTAACCAAAAAAAAAATTCAAGTGTAAAATTTATTAAATTTTTTTTAAAAAAATATGCTGCCAAGAGGTTGAAAGCATTATGGATCCCGGTAAGAATTAAAATAATTTTATTTTTATTTTTAAAAATTGTTTTTTAAAATTGAGGGGGGAAAAAAAAAAAAAAAAAAAAACTCACATAAAACTTTATTTATTTTTAAATGTAAATTTTTGTAATGATAATTTGTCACTCATTACTAACATTATCAGGTCATTGACCTTTTGTTTATTGATTCCGACTCAACTTGTTTACATTTTTATTCATATTAAAAGTTATTTTTCTTTTTCTTTTTTTTTTTTTTTTTTTTTTTTTTTTTTGCTTCTTTTTAAAAAACGATAATAATAAAATTAAAGGCTTGCCAGGTGAGTCTGACAAATATTTAACATCTTTTATCGATGATTGTAATTGATAATGATGTATTATATATAAAACTCCTACTATTATTATTAGTAATTTTTTTTGTTTTTTTTTTTTTTTCAGTTGAAGATGTCAATCTTACTTGGTCTGGGTCGGACAGAGATTACACATATGATGAATTACTTACTCGTGTTTTCGATATCCTGAGAGATAAAAATCCCAACATGGTTGCTGACAAAAAGCAAAAATTTGTTATGAGACCACCACAAGTAGTTCGAATTGGTACCAAGAAAACATCATTTGCTAATTTTACAGATTTTTGCACAACGTTAGTATAAAAATGTCAAATTATCAACATGATCAAGCGATTGGTGGTTGTTTTGTTTAATTTTGTGGAAAAAATTTTTTTTTTAAATTTTCAGATTGCATCGTCAACCAAAACATTTATTAGATTTTCTCTTGGCCGAGTTGGGTACAAGCGGATCAGTCGATGGTAACAGCCAACTTATAATAAAAGGTCGTTTTCAACAAAAACAAATAGAAAATGTCCTTAGGAGATATATAAAAGAATACGTGACGTGTCACACGTGCCGTTCGCCCGATACAATTTTGAGAAAAGACACTAGATTGTTCTTTTTACAATGTGAAACTTGCGGATCTCGGTGTTCCGTTGCTAGTATTAAATCGGGTTTTCAGGTACTTGTTGTTTATTTAAATTTTTTTTTTTATTATTTTATTCACATTTTGATAAGATGTCGAAAAATATTTACAACGTTTTTTTTTTTTTTTTTTTTTTTTTAAGGCCGTCACCGGAAAACGTGCTGCTATACGAGCAAAAACAGCATAAAAATATTGATAATTATCTTTTTTTAATTTTTAGGCAATTTCTGATAATAATAAAAAAGGTTAAATTTTTTGTATATCATTGTTTTTTTTTTTTTTTTTATTTAAAGAAGCCCATCCATTAACATATCATTTAAATAAATTAAATTCGGGTTAATAATATAAAAGTTTTTAAAGAAAAAAAAAATTCAAATCAATGATATTATTATAAAAAAATATATATAATTAATTAATAATATATACTTCATATTATAAATAAATAATAACTTATAGATATTTTTAACATTATTTTTAAAAAAAATATTTATGTGATTCTCGTAATAAATAAATTAAATAAAATTTTTCCAAAAGAGTCTAATAAAAAATAATTCATTCGTAGAATAAATAAAAAAATAATTTTGTTGCTTTTTATTATATATTTTTTTTTTTTTTATGGGTTTAACTAAAACGATTAAAGGCTTATAATTGTAAAAAAAAAAAAAAAAAAAAAAAAAAAATAATAATATTGCACTTTAAATAGTGAATAATAACAAAACAATGCACCTTTTACAAATATTATCGATTTAGGCTCAAGGTAATTTTCAATTTAATAAATTTATTTACTTTTATTTAAAGGTCACACACACACACACAAACTGTGGTAACAATAATTGAAAAAAATAATTAATTTAATTATTCCGGCTAACATTGAAATTATTATTATTATTTTTTTTTTTTTTTTAATTTGATGTAATTTCCATTCTTTTGTTTTTCCATCTTGAAAAATTTCATAAAAAATTTAAATTTTATTATAAATTTATTTCTTTAGCCATTACAGACAAATCGGGAGTTCTTTTAAAATATAACAGCACTTTATAAATAGTCAGGTGAGTTATGTATTTTATGTAATGCGTCCATATGTGAAATTCGAAAATAATTTTTTGATGAAAACATTGTATCTTATTATAAATAAATGAATTTTTATTTTTATCCACAGTTCCTTCCAGTGCACTTCGAGCCATAAGAGTAAATCTATCAACTGGATCTCCATGATCTTTAGCAATAGCACGAACGGTATTCATGTTTCTACAAGAAAAAAAAAAATACAAAATTGACAAAAAAAGGTTTTTAAAAAAAAAAAACAAAACAATATCAGGAAATATTAAAAGTTTTTTAAAAGGTTCGAACCTTATGACAAGTAACATATTTTTAGGCATTTGTCTTAGTGCTAATAAAATTCTATCGAATCTTTTTCTAGCCATGTAAGTCATGTATTTCATATCTTCTTCGTTTAATTTTAATTTTAATTGATATTTGTGCAATTTTAACGGTCTCTGTGTGAGTATTTCAGCAAAAACATATGGATCTAAAAAATTAATAATAATAATAATAATAGTCATCAGACAAAATGATTGGCGAGTCCTCAAATATTTTTAGTTTTAACACATTATACCTTCGACACCCAAAGCAGAAGAATATTTTTTGATTTTTTGTTCATCATGAAGAACAATAGATTTCCATAAATAACACAAATTTTTCCTTTCATTATCTGGTAAAACTTGATAAAGACCATGATCTAATAAAACAACTTCTGCTTCTTTTGTTTTCTTACTTTTCCTTATCAAAACTGTATAAAAAAAAAATAATTTTTAAAAAATTAGTACATTGAATGCTTTTATAAATTTATATCTGCATATTAATATTAATTAAATTTACCATTTCCAGGATGAGGATCGGCATGAATAAAACCTGTATGAAATATTTGTTCGCTAAAAACTGTAAATAATTTTTTATCAACATCCCCTAGATTTAACCCCAAATTTTTTATTAACTCTTTTTCATTTACTTTAACTCCATTAATAAATTCTGTCGTTAAAACTCTCTGTAAACAAAACATGAGATTTATATCAATGAAGGTTTCTTTTTTTTCATTTCGATAAAAAATCTCATGAAAAATGATTAAACATACAGATGTACTAAGGTTCCAATATACTTTAGGCACATAAGCGAAATAAAATTGCGAAAGATCAGATGCACATTTCTCTGAATTTTTCCCTTCTGTAATAAAATCTAATTCTTGTTCTAATGTATCTCTTAGCTCATTTAACACCCACTGAAAATCAAAATTGGGATGAACAAAAGATGCAACTTTTAATAAAAATTTTATGGTAGCTACATCTCCAATAAATCTATCTTTTAAATCTATGTACTGGACTTTAACGGCAACTTCTTCTCCCTCGAGTGTTTTCGCTTTAAAAACTTGTGCTATGCTAGCAGCAGCAATGGCGTTCTCATCGAATTCTTCAAAAATTTCAGTATGAGGCTTACCAAATTCTTCTATAAATAATTTCAATATTTCATCTTTTTTTCTCGTCAAGCACTTGTCTTGAAGAGTCTGTAAATCGATTAAAATTTTAAATGAAATTTCATAAACTATTTCTTTTTTTTAATTAATCAAGACTTTAAAAACTTAACCATTAAAGTAATGAGATATTCTTTGGGTAAAATATGGTTCAGAGAAACCAAGCCTTGACCTAATTTTATATAAAGACCTCCATTTTTTAAACATCCATCTCTTATTCTTTCAGCTGATCTTAAATGCACTTCTTTTATTTTCATATTAAATTCTTCAGACTCTTCATCTAAATTTTTTAATGTCCACCAATAGTCATATGTAATATACATACCTATATGTAATGATCTATAAAAAATTTATAAAAGTTATGGAATGAAAAATTGCAATAATTTGATTGCATGTAAGAAAATATGCTTAACAGTAAGACACCTAAAAAATCTTCCGATTCCACCCACAGTTACATTAAACTTTCTTTTTTCTATGTCATTAAGGGATGCATAATAAATTCCTCCAATAATTCCAGTAACAGTTATTGCTATTGAACTTCCTTTAAGTAATTTTAAATTGAAATTATGTTTTTTGGGAGAATTACACGGATTATTATTAAAAAACATTCTTTTACTACAATATGAATCATGTTTTTTTAAAGGCAAAATGTTTTTAAAAGAAATTGTTAACCACCTTGCCATTTTTTTCTGAAAAAAAAAAAATAATAATAATGATATTGAGGTTATGTTGTTTTGGCTTAAGGCAATTATAAAAAAAAAAACTCGATAAAAATTTTAATTGTATTTAACTCACCAGGTGTAATTATTATCCTTTACTACTCACATATATATATTTAAGCATAACGAAAATGATTTGTGTCATTCAACCCTTATAGGGTTAACAATTCCGGTCAACGACCTTTTAATATTTTGATTAAAAAGAAATTGATTATTTTTTTCATTTCGTATTGAAAAAATTTACGAATTAACTGTTGACAATATTTGGTAATTATTTATAAAAATTAATTTTTTTCTTGTACATAATACAAGAGAAAGCGAGTTTATAAACATGGCTGACTTCCACGTCGTTTTTGGTTCCGTTTTATTTAACTTTGGTAATGACCGTTACCATGGTGCGCAATGATTCCATAATTGTCATTCTCAGGTAATTAATAATAAAAAAATTTTTTTTCTTCTTACTTTCCTTTCTATAAATAGTTATTAAATTTATTTTTAAATAATAAATCACACGCTGAATGATATTAAAAAATTTAAGAAATTTGTATTAGGATAGTTGAAAACAAAAGAAAATAGACTAGGATTTTTCTTTCAAACATTTATTTTTAATAAAAAAATCTATTGACATCAATTAACGTATAATAACATTTAAAAATTTTTTAATAGTTATTTTAAAACGCAATTTACGTAATTAATTATAAATTTGAAAGCCTGTATTAAAATCGGATTTTAAAACCCATTCCCCTCTATGATAAAAATAACGGAAAAATATTCTCCAGTGTTGCAACACATTTTTTTTCATGCCAATTCTCGAACGGCAAATTTGCCGCTCTATCGATTTCGAAAATTTACCAATTTAGTAAATTAAACGAAAAAAATTCGATTCGTATAATATTTTGACAATTTTTAAAATTGAAATTCGTAATGAAAACAAAAAGAAAAAAAGGAAAAAAACGTTTTGTTCGTTATTACGTCTTAGCAAATTTTTTGTAATTTTCATTGAACTTGAACTCCTCGCGAACGAACGGACCCTGGCATAAAATTTTTTTTTTTTTTCCACTCTGACATTTCTCCCGCAAAATCAGCTGTCTGTCAAAAGTTAAACATTTATTATTGTAGGAACCAATGAGAGAGCTCCACTTGATTCAATATCTGACAATCAGCTGAGCAAACTACTGGGTAGAAAACTTTTGTTGTACATTTCTGGGTTTTATGATCGAGACTGCTTGGAGCCATTAAGCTTTCATTTTGCTGTTGTTTTCAGGAATAAAACATTAAAAAACCAAAAGGTAAGTCGATTATATTTCATTCGTAGAAAACGCGAATAATTACTTTCACGCGTATGCAAAAAATTCGATTCGAAAAAATTCCATTTTTTTTCTTTTTGTCTCATATTCATTTTCCCCCCGTATACGAGAGAGAGAAGTGAACTCAAGGTCGTCTTTGTTTCGATGTTATCATGGCGTCTCCTCAAAAGGTTAACAATTTGCAAATTTTGCCATTTTATTTTCTCTTTGTTTTCGAATCTTTATTTAAATGATCGTTTTCCAAACCTGAAAGTACAAAAAAAAATTGAAAAAAAAAAAAAAATTAATAAACTTCATAACATTATTCTTTGTGTTAGCATATAATCAATTTTAAAATTTTTTTTAAAATAAAAATGACGTCGACGACGACGACGACAATAACGAGCAACAAGAACGCAAAATAATAATAATAATAATAATAATAATAATAATAATAATAATAATAACAATAATTCAAAACGAAAGAAAGAAAGAAAAAAAAGGACGTATTATTTTTAGCAATTCATTTATTGATTTTTTTTTTTTTTTTTTTAAATTTAAATTTAATTTTTCATTTAACCTTTCGACCGTGAAAAAAAAAAAAACAACAACAAACGAACGAACGAACAAACAAACAAACAAACAAACAAAACAAAAACAAAAATAATAAAATATTAATAAGGATGACGAAAAAAAAAAAAAAATTTTTTTAACTCAGAAATTTATTTTATTACAACAAAAAAAATTTATTTATTTATTTATTAATATTTTATATTTTTACGTTACGTTAAAAATAAATAAACAAAGTGGGTCACACACACATTATTATTATCATTATTATTAGTTAACAACAAAGGATTAACAACGACGTGAATAATAATAATAAAAGTCGTATTTTTTTCGTCTTTTTCTTTTTCAAAAAAAAAAAAAAAAAAAATGGACTCTGATAATAATATTTATTTATTTTTATTTTATTTTTTCCGTGTATTAATAATGCTTTTGTTCCGTGATTAGATAATTTCGAAATGTAGGAGTAGTGGTAGTAGTAGTAGTAGTAGTATTAATAATAATAATAATAATTTCTATTTATTTTTACATGTTATTTCGACCTCAATTACAAACATATATATATAGGAAAATGAGAGAAAAGAAATTTTTTTTTTTTTTTTTATTAATTTTCGCAACTCATTTAAAAAATTTCTTTTGTTTTTGTTTGTTTGTTTGTTTTCGAAAATTAACAACAATAACAATACTCTTGTCATTTTTTTTTTTTTTTTTTTACTTTTAAATAATTAAAAAAAAAAAAAAAAAAAAAAAAAAACGGTTATATTGTGATTGTGATGATAATAATAACAACGACAATCTTTCGAGTTTAAAATTAGGTCTTATCAATTACTATACGACAATTCGACATGCAAACAAACAAACAAACAAACACAAACACAATGAGTTTAGTTGGCAAACGTTGTTGTTGTTATTGTTTTTTACGCATTATAAATATTATTATTACGTTAATGTTGTTCATCACGTATATATATTCGAGACCGTAAAAATCACATATACGAGTCGGCCATTTTTTTTTCTTCTTTTTTCACTACGATACCCATCTTTCTTTCTTTTTTTTTTCCTCCCTTCCCCCCTCCCTCTCTCTCTCTCTCCGACAAACAAACAACATTGGGGGGGGGGAAAAGTCGAATTAATTAATTAATTAATAATAATAATGACTGTTTGTAACGTTTCGACGATTGATTGTTACTAATTGGTTCGATAATTATCCTCCCTCGACATTTTTAAATTTTTGACAAGTTTTACGAACGCTTAGGACACACACAAATACGTGAAATTATTATTATTATTATTATTTTAATAAATGGACATTATTTAGCATACGACGAATACTACGAATGTGACGACTACGATATAAGCAACAAAAACAAAAACAACAACAATCGATATACAAAAATGGTAAAACGAGTTTAAAAAAAATTATATTATTATTATTATTATTATTCTCATTTTTATTATCATTATTTGCATGTAATTATTCATTTGTTTCGTTTCGAAAAAAAAAAAATTTTTTCTTCGTAGGTTTAGGTACAACCTTTTTGTATCAATTCGAAATTATTTTACAACTAATGTCTTTATACACTTTTCGTAGTGTTATCCTAAAATTAGTAGGGAATGGAATTTTTTTTTTTTTTTATTTAGATCAAAGCCATATTATCTATGCAAATAAGTTTTTTTTTTGGGGGGGGTGCAACGGGGAGGGTCGAAAAGGCAAGAGAAGGGTTTTTTATTTGGCGTGGCTGGGGAAATCCTTCTCGCGACGTTTTCCATTGTTTTTTTTTTTTTTTTTTTTTTCAAACTCGCCCTTTTTGCCTCGCAAAAATTTCAAACAAAGTAATCACCATCATCATCATCATTATCGTTTTCCCTCGTATCAAACCCGTTATTACAAGTTGTAATAAAAACGAACTAAATAAAAAAAAAAAAAAAAAAGCGATTTTCATTACTGTTAAAGTTCTTCTCCGTTTTCACAAACGTATCACTATTTGCAAATTATTTTTAAAAAGACCTCCCCCCCCCCGAAAAAAAAAGTCAACGCGTTCATCAAGAAAATTTCTATTTATTATTATTATTATTATTTTTTTTTTTTTAAAGCCATTTTTGCATACAATTAACACCTTCGTAATTTTCCTCTCTATTCGTTATTATCTCTCTCTCTCTCTCCTTCGAACAAACTCTTCAAAAAAAAAAAATTTCAAACAAAGAAAAGCTAATCATATCGTGAATATTAAAGAAAAAAGAATCGATTTCACAACCTGTACACGATCGAGAAGGACAACAAAACCTTAGCCGATAGCACAGAACGTTTCAAGGTGAACCTGTGAAGAAGTTTTTTTCGAGAAAAATTGTGTTACGGTTTTTAGTTGCCTTGGTCGTTGCGAGCGGGTACAAAAAAAATAATAATATCAATAACGTCAACGATAATTGTTATAATGTGTGCCTCCCCCCCCCCAAAAAAAAATAAAAATAGATAGAAGGGATATAGAAGAAGGGGCCCTCTCTCTCTCTCTCTCTCCCCCCCCTCTTTCGGTGGAAGTCGAAACGGGTTAAAACGAAAAAATCGATTTTGGCTTCGATTTATCTGACCGAATTTTTAACACGTTTCATTTTTTTTTTTTTTTTTTTTTTTTTCCACATCTTTGGGATCTTAACAAAAAAAAAATTTGGCTCCGACATAAAATATTATTCGCCATTTTGACAAGGGCAAATCTAAAAACAGAAAATTCCCTCTCACCGTCCCCCCCTCTCTCTCTCCCCCTCATTTTTCTTCCCTGTTTTTGTTTTTGTTGTCGTTTTTATTTTTAATAGCATTTTGACAAATTTTATTCCCACGTTAAGTATGTAAGTATTTAAACGTATATCTTATTAGTATTATTATTATTATTAATGTCTTTTATTTTGAGGATTGGGGTCGGGGGAGGGAAGGGAGGGGAGGGGATAAAAGCAAAAAAAATTGGCTCTGTGATATTTATTTATTTATTTTTGTGCAAATCTTTAATCAAAATGTCTTAACGTTTTGAAATATATATGAAATTCGTTTGTTTCATTTTGTTTTCGAAAATCAAAATCAAAAATAATAATAATAATAATAATAACGAAAACAATCGCGCG